ACATATTTGACATCATTCTCCTCAATCTATCTTTCACAGATGCATCTGTCAATCATAGTAACAACCATACAGTCCTTGAGAGTAAGTCCTGTCTTCATGGGTGGCCAAAATGATTAAGAAGGCATATGGCATGCTTGCCTTCATTGGCCGGGGCATGGAGTACAAGAGTTGGCAAACTATGTTGCTCATATGTAAAACCCTTGTTAGGCCGCATTTGAGTATTGTGTGCAGTTTTGGTCGCCACACTACCAGAAGGACGTGGAAGCTTTGGAGAGCGTACAGAGAAGTTTCACCAGGGTGTTGTCTGGTCTTGAGGGCACTGGCTATGAGGAAAAGTTTTGTTTTTTTTTTTTTAAAAAAAAATAACCAGGATTGTTTTCACTGGGAAGGCGGTGGCTGAGAGGAGACCTGATCAAGATCTACAAAATTGAGAGGCATAGATAGGGTTGATAGTTGGAGGCTTTTTCCCAGGGTTGATGGTGAGAGGGAGAAAGTTTTTAAGGGAGATGTATGAGGGAAGTTTTTCACGCAGAAAGTGGTAGGAGCCTGGAATGCACTGCCCAGAAGAGGTGGTGGAAGTGGACAGGTTAGCAACATTTAAGAGGCATCTGGATGGTTACATGAGTAAGGAGGAAACAGAGGGATATGGACTGAATAAGGGCAGAAGGTTTGTTTTTTTATTTTAAGTTAGGGCATGGTGCTTGGAGGGCCAAAGAGCCTGTTCCTGTGCTATATTTCTCTTTTGTTCATACTGAGAATAGCCTCCATTGGGCATCCCTGAGGCACTTTGGTCCATCAGAATTAGAATTGCAATCCCATACGATCAGCAGTGCCTCAATCCAGCGTATCCCCTATTCCATGCCTGGTTCAACGATGAGTGCAGGAGGGAATGCCTAGAGCATCACCAAGTGTACCTAAAAATTAAGTGTCAATCTGCTGAAGCTACAGTACAAGACTAGCTTGTGTGTGCCAGGCAGCAAGTGATAAATTATGTCCCCTCTAATTTTGTTTTCATTTGTGCGGACCTCCAAAACTGTTAGTCTGTACTGGAAACAGCGTTGGCATGGTGATTGACGTGCATGGGCCCTCAGTAACTATGCAGCCTAGCAGTGCTGAAAGACAAAGTTAAGTGATTGCACAATCAATGCATCAGACCTAAGCTCTACAGTCCTAGTTATGAACAGTGATAGACCATTAAACAACTCACTGGAAGAAGATTTCATAAATAACCCCATCACGGTGGAGGGCACTCTTAATGTGAAGGCGGGACTTTGTCTCCACAAGGGCTGTGTAGTGGGACTGTTACCAGTGCTGTCATGGTCAGATCAATCAATAGCTGGCAGATCATGTATGTTTTCCCCTCTTGGTTCCCTCATCGCCTGCTGCAGACCCAGTCTAGCAGCTATGCCCTGTAGGACCCGACCAGCTCGATCAGTAGTGCTGCTGCCGAGCCAAGTATTGGTCGACATGGAGAATTACTGATTCATTAACTGAGGAAGGGCAGCACGTGGTAATCAGCTGGAGGTTTCTTTGCCCATGTTTAACCTGAAGCCATGAGAATTCAGAGGGCTCAGAGACCATGTTGAAGACTCCCAGGGCAACTCTCTTCCAACTGTATATCACGGTGCTGCCACATGTGGGTATGTTCTGCTTGTGGGACAAGACATATCCAGACAAGGTGATGGTAGTGTTTGGGGCATTGTCTATCAGGTATGATTCTATGAAAATGACTCCGGCTGTTGCTTGACTGTTATGTGAGACAGCTCTCCCAATTCTGTCACTAGCCTCAGATGTTAGTAAGGAGGACTTTACAGGGTCAACAGGGCTGTTTCTCTTGTTGCTTCCACTGCCTCGGTCAATGCCAGGTGGTCTATCCAGTTTCATTTCTTTGTTGAGACTTCATAGTGATTGATACTGTTATGGACCAGACTCAAGGCCCTCAAAATATACTAAAATAGCCTAGACCCTAACTTTTTCTCGTTTTAAAGGTCAGTGTAAAGTGTTGCATTCCAGATGCAATTCAAGTGGTCAAACTACTTGATTTTAAGCAAAATACACTTTTGTATTTTAGCTTTAGTGTAAAAGTAGACAAAGAAAAGAATTGCTTTAACTGTAATTCCAGATTCCAGCAACTGCTAACAGCTAAAACTAAAATTCCTGGTTCTCTGGGAGTTAGACACAGCCTGAATGGGTGGGGTCAATTGTTCCAACTTTTTAAGAAAAACCCAAGACCTCACCAAGACCCTGTCACTATCCCACCTATCTTCCCCTGCCCCACCCCTCCTCTCTCTATTTATTCCAGAGCTCCCTTCCCCCATTTCTGAAGAAGGGTCCTGACCTGAAATGTCAGCTTTCCTGCTCCTCTGATGCTGGCTGGCCTGCTGTGTACCTCCAGCTCCACACTGTTATTCCAAGACCTCACAAGCTGTTTATTGGCTTTGAGCAGACTGTTCAGTGCCTCTGTCCTTTTAAAAGTGAACAAAGTTTGAGACAAAGTACACCTTTTAAAGTAATTGTATTGTCACAATACAACTGAGTGGCTTGCTAGTCCATTTCAGAGACCATTTGAGAGTTGACCACATTGTGGTTCTGGAATCACATGTAGGCCAGACCAGGTGAGGATGGCAGATTTCTTACCCATCAGTGAGCCAGATGAATTTTTCTGACAGTGGGCAGTAGTTTCACGGTTATTAGATTCTTAATTCTAGATATTTCTGGGTCCCAAAAGCATTAGCCAAGTTTCTGGTGAATATTCTAGCAAAAACACCACTAGACCATTGCATCCTGATGGAGCATCTCCCCTACAATGTGGAACGTTGCCCTGGCATCTCCTGTACACCGCAAGCAGTACAAGTAAAACCTGGCTAATTATCACTTCATCAGTCTACTGTCTGTAAATTGATAAATCAATCATGAGCAGTGCTATCAAGCAGCACTTGCTTAGCAATATCCTATTCGCTGATGCTCAGTTTGGGTTCTACCAGGGACTGTCAGCTTCTGACCACATTGTAACTTAGGTGCAAAAGAGCTGAACTCCAGAGGGGATGTGAGGACTGCCCTTGATATCGAGGCCACATTTGAATGAGTTTCCTCGAAGCCCTCTGGGAATTGGCGGGTGGGAGGGGCGCAATCTGTCCAGTTTTTGGGTTGAAATGATACCCTAGCACATAGGGGAGATGGTTCTGGTTTTAGGTCAGTCAAATCAACAGGAGTTCTTCAGTGTAGTGTCTGCAGTCCAACCATCTTTTAGCAGCTTCATCAGTGACCATCTCTCCATCACAAGCTCAGGAGTGAGGATGTTCACTATTTGTGATGACTCTGATACTAAAGCAGTCCATGACGAAATGTAACCACACCAGGATGATATCCAAGTTTAGACTGAAAGGTGGCAAGTAATATTCATGCTACACAGTGCCAGGCAATGACCATTTTCATCCCTTGATATTCAGTGGTGTTACCATCGCTGAATCGCACAGTAACAATATTCTGGGGGGTTACCAGAAACTGAACTAGCCATAAAAGTACTTGGCTATAAGAGCAGGTCAGAAGCTAGGAATTCTGTAGTGAGTAACCCATTTCCTGATTGCCCAAAGCCTCCCCACTATCTTCAAGGCACATGTCAAGAGTATGGTGTTATGCCCACCACTTGCCTGGAAGAATGCAGATCCAATATGTCAGTAAACTTAAGACCATTCCTGGGCACCATAATCCTTAAAAGCCATTCCTCCACACAGCAGCAGTGTGTACTATTTGCCAGGGATACAGTAGGGGGATAGATCTGGGTGGGATGTTCTTTGGAGGGTTAGTGGAGACTGGATGGGCCAAATAGCCTTCTGCATTGTGGTATCCTATGATTCACAGATACCCTACAGAAGTTCAACGAGGCTCCTTAAACTGCATGTTCCCCAAAACCTACAATCGGCTAGAAGGTTGGGGGCCACTGATCTCTTGCGTATGAATTCATGTAATTATTCTCCTGCATGTTGTGGATTTACAGAGAAGTAATTTAGTTACAAGGAGGGGGGTTACTTGTTTTTGATCACTAAGTTTAAAAACCTAAGCAAATTAGAGGGAAAATTTATTCCAAATTGCGAAGGCTCGAAGTACAATTGAATGGTTTGTTTGGAATTAGTTTAGCTTCACTGAATTTCTAACTTGCTATATTTTAGTACCACTGTCTTTAACAAAACTTAAAAGAAGTGTTTTAAGTCTAATTGCTCCTCGTGATGGCTCAGTGAGTACAGCATGTCCAGCTGTCATAATATTTAGACAGCAAAATCCCGGATTTGATCCTGAGTTTGTGTGGCCTCTGATTAGTTAGCTTCAACGAGTTTCAAATTATTAGTGGTGTTCCAAGTCAGGGAGTGATCTAAGCTGCTAGCATGCCACGCCTGTTTCTTTATCTAATGATTCATGCAGCATGAAATCAGTGTGTAGGTATGATGAGAAGGAATGTAGTTTAGAATGCAGTCTGCACATGCAAATATCCAGTCCATACTTGGCATCTGGGCTCAAATGTGAACAATCTTTGAGAGGTACTGATGAACTGTGAACACTTTTTGAAACTTTAGTTCAATTGAAGTCAACCTCTTCAAAAGCAAGAATATTGGCAAAATCGCATACTCCCCAGTCAAGAGTTAAAATCAAAAGAAAGGTTAGTAAAATGGTATTAAATTGCATTGTGCTGTAAGTTTGATCTACTCTGGCATTCTTTCATTTATCTGCTTTACCCAGTTCGTTCATTTATGTCAAACTGCTGATTCCTGAAATTTTGGTATACATGTAGGGCAGCATTTTGCATTGTTCCACAAATTTCAGTTCCTAAACATTAACTTTCAATAACCTGTTCAGTTAGGTGTAATCAATTGAACAATAATCTGATTTTAGCTTTAAGTAGGAGAGTGATTTAAGCAGTTAAACCACCCGAGACTGGCTTAGAGGTCAACATGAAGTCGGCATGAGTGTTTAAATTTGATTCAGTATGTCTTTTCTTTTATCAGAAAAGAGAGAGTCTTTTTCACCAAGTTTATCATGGGTAATTCATTTTATTGTATTCCTTTCAAGTAATCATCTGCATGCGAGCAACAAATGTGATGTAATTGAAAGCAGGATTAACAACTAGACTTCGGCTGAATTTCCACTAACTGCACGGGGAATTTGGTATTCTGTCAATTTGTAAGAATCTAGATTAAAATGCCAGATATATAATGCTTATTGGTGCCTCTTTCACTCTATGCTTTTACAGTTGATGTATAGGGCTTGCCCAATGATCTCTGGACTGCATTTTTGTTTTTGCAGTTGAAACATTTATGCAGTTGTGTGCTGCAAAACTACATAAAAATATAATACCTATTAAACTGGTGGAGGCACTACAGAATGTGGAAAATGGCTGTCCCCAAGTTGTTTTAAGGATCAGGATATTGGAGGTCATAATTCTAACTTAGATATATGTCTGAAAAAAAATTAAAAGATCAAACAAGAGACAACATTTTCCACTGTTCACATACTCCTTAACGAGGAGTTTCTTTGCAAGAACAAATGTGTAGAAACACATTTTAAAGTGAGTAGATTTTTCTTTCCAACCTTACCTTTTTCTGGTTGAGTGCCAAATCTGCATAATACTAAGCCTGGGATAACAAGGTGTAGAGCTGGATGAACACAGCACTCCTTAAGGGTCTTGGCCGGAAACGTCAGCTTTCCTGCTCCTCTGCTGCTTGGCCTGCTGTGTTCATCCAGCTCTACACCTTGTTATCTCCGATTCGCCAACATCTGCAGTTCCTACTATCTCTAATACCACAAGCCTGCTTGGCTAAGTGATATAGTGAATGGAAAAAAAATCAAAATTACACTCTTAAAATGTACACAGAAATACTCAGTGAAAGCTTTGTGCACTGAGCTAAGCTTTGCAACAGAATAATCAATTTGAACAACTAATTACTAAATGGAAAATTTATTATCAGAATAAAACTTGACTATTTAAATAAAGGAAAATTTGAATTCGAGGTAGAAAGCAAACATAAGAATGGTTCATACCAATGGTACAGTTTTTTTTTTTTTTGAAGTTATCTGGTTGTTTTATCTCTTGTACATTATATGCTGAGGCATGGCTGTACTTAAATCCACAACTAACATGTGCATACATTATAAAATACAGTAAATTGTGCATTTGCTACTGATCTTCTGATCTGCATGTTCACATTTTTAAAAACAAACTGTATACATTCCAGAAGTAACTAATACGCATTATGTAATTTTGCAATGAATCAGTTGTATCTGTATGAATGATCATTAGTGATTCATTCTAGTGCTGATATTGTAATCGGTAGTTTTTATATGAATGTTGCTATTTCCTTTTTCCAAAACTCCTATCAAAAGCAAACTCTTAGTCAATCCTTGAACTTCAGGCAACTTGACTGAATTCCAGTCGTCATGTGTTAGCTTTATTTTTAAAATATTTCCAAATTGGACATTAAATGGCTTTGAATCCATCCATAATATTGTAGTAAGGCAACTAAGGTTTTAAAATCACATTGTTCTGATGCAATTGCTGCGCAAAACACATACAATTGGGATCAACCTTTAGTTGCAGTTGGTAGCTATTTAAATTTACAAGAAAATGTTGTCATTTGTAGTTTTTGTGCAATTTTCAAGACCAGATAATCGTGCAGAAAGCAGAAACAGTATGGAGTTATATTAAATATCCAAAATTAGGCCCATTAAGAAATCAGACAAGCAAATTGATTAGTCTGTATAATTTAAATTTTCTGCTGAACCCAGAGCTAAGAGTGGACTTGATAATTTGAGAAATACCGCTCATTTCATGTTCCTATTGTGAATGCTGGAACATCTGTAAATTACTAGCTACTGTCGTAACTTTGCATGAAACTATTTCATATCTTGTTTTTGTTGAATATAGGGTAGTAAATGGTCTAGACCAAGGACCTGCAGGAATTGGATCAGCAGCACCACCACCTTCACCACCAGGCATGCTGCCACTCAGTGTCTGAACAGTCAAACTGCATCTTTTTATTTAAAACCATCTACTTCAAGCAACAGGATAACCCTGATTACAAATGGAGTGCACTGTGGTGTGTAGGAATTTCTGAATTATCTTGCTTGTTCTTTAAGATTTTGTTTGTTAAACAGTTTGCATCTTAATCTCTGGTATACTGTCACTGCAGTGTAGTTAATTTACCATTACCATTCATGGGGATTTTAATGCTATTCCTGTTGTACGTTACACCAGATTTGTATATTGAGAATTAAAATTTGAAATCCTAAGCAGTATTGGAAAAGTCTACATATTTAAAGCTAACAATGGTGTGTATATATATGATATTTGTTCAAGCCACTTATACAATGTATGACTCTCCAGATAATTGGTCTGGGTTTCTCGGTTATGTGCCTGGATTTGGTGATATTTTAAAACACCAATTCCTGTAATTTTTATTTTGAATTGTACAATTTTTGCTTGGTTTCTAATGTCAAATTTATTAAGGAAGATATATTTAAACATTGTGTAAATTGGTTTGTTTTTAAAAAAAGTACTGAAGTTGTATAACAAACTTTTGAACTATTTACAGCATTGATTTTTTTTGTTTCTATGCATCAACTCGATCACTTTGACATTTTATTTTGTGGCATAATTTGGAAAATTACATTGGCTGTTTCTTGTTAATGTATATAAGTTTGTAAACATGACTTTGCCCAAGATATTTGTATATAGCTTGGGCTTTCTAGCATTATTTATTCAGATTCTATATGGCATGTTTAATAAATGAAGCAGTTTACCAGACAGTTGTAACAAATCATATGATATCATTATGTAGAACCTGCTGTCTAAACTTCTGAAAATAAATTTGTTCTTTAAACAGTTACAGTGTGCAGAATGGTCATGATAATGGTGAGATCACCATCTGGTAAGATGGAATAGGAAGTGTCATTATTTTGATGAGTACATTACATTATTATTGAATTTTTGTAAATGCAGCACTGATGACATGATTACCAATTTGTATGAAGTATATAAATATTGACAATTTGATTTCTACAAGTTTTGTTTATTTCTACATTATCTGTAGATGTTAGGTTTAGACTGAATGGTCATTGAAGATTATGCTTTGTAATAAAATGTCAACATTACCCAATGTGACAAACTACTGATTTAATATTCAAGACTGCAACAAAAAATCACTTATCCTTTTCAGCTTCTTGAAGTAACATTAGAGTATTTGAGATCAACAGGCAAATAAGGTTGCAGTCATACCTGGATCATTCATGATTTTAATGAATGAAGGAGCAAGCTTGAGGGGCCAAATGGCCTACTCTATATTCATATGCTATGAATGTTTTAACCCTGTTTCTGGTAATATTTATAGGGTAAGGGTAATGATAATTCTCAAACTGGAAGCCCACAAGTTTGGGTACTGGATGGGCTGTGATAATCACATGGTGTGAATCAATAGCAGAAACATAATAGGAAACAAGGTGTTAATTGGGTTGAATGACCAGATTTCATATTGCTGGAGAACATCAAAAACTTTCATTACAATTCTGAGATCTTTAAATCCTTTTCCAATCATTTATTTCTCTCACTTTCAGCCCTGTGCTCGCTGGACTACATTAGTTCCCAGTCTTCCAATGTACCAGGTTTTAACTTCTCATCCTGGTGTTTATGATATGTTTATGGCTTTGATCACCATTCCTGTAAAGCTACACAGCTGCCATTGAGGGTCCATGTGTGGCAATCAGCATGATGACACTGTTCACAGCATTAACTTTGGTTCCAGGCATTGGTGCCCCACACTGATTTGAGAGGTCTATGCAGAAGAAAAAGAATTACTGGGAACATTGGCCTCAATCTTTTACAACTGTAGCCTTTTTAATATTTCCTCCTTTGACCTGATATCTCTTTTTTTTTTTTTTTCAGTTTTTTGGTGAAATTACTTGGAACATGCTTTCTATATTTAAAGGCACTATCTGGTTACAAGCTATAAATGAAAGGCTTCTGGTAGAAAGAAGTCATACAGAAATTAAATGATCTGTTCCAGCAGTTGATAAAATAGTGAGTTCGCTGGTTATGATCCCTTGATCGTACGTCATTTATCAAGATACTGAGCAGATAAAAGTGAACTACAGGGATAATGGGAGATTTGAGATCTGTATATGGTGAAGCTGAACTTGTGAATGTGGATCTAGTACAAGGCATCAAAAATATGACATGGAAGTACCAACAATAAATTATTCTTTGACATTGATATTGCTGTTTCCTTTTCTGGCGGCACAAGGTGACCTTTAATAATTTGCCTCAAAGCACATGTAATCTAAAAACAAATTGCTTCCATTTTGGAAAAAAAATATATAGTTTTATCACCTTTTGTTGATAGAAAACATGGTATGCTGTGACCCAGGTCTTAATGACCCTCTTTCCTCTGTTGCAGTCTTGACAGCACCTGTTTCGGCCTTTTCCTTCTACGTATTTGCACCACAACAGCTCTTAGCCTTTCTTTTTCATTTGCTTTGCTAACTGAGCCACCACCCCTCATCTTCATTCTTCGATCTCATTCTGTTTTTACTCTTTACTATCCCATAGCTTAATTCCCCTGCCACCATTTTGTTTGCTTCCACACTTTCTCTCTCCGCAT